AGCATCTACTAGTAAACCGACGCAGGGGTTGTAGAAGCCGGCCTGCGGCGGAAGGGGATGAGCGCGCATTAGGCGAGTTATGCCGGCATTGTTCTAATTTAATCATACATGCCAGGACCAGCCAAGATACCGGCTCAAGGAGCAAGCCGTTAGTAACGACCCATCCGCGCAATCCGCCATTTCCGGTTAGATCGTTCTCTCTTGTATTTGTCGTATAAATGCCTATTGTAGAGACTTTTCTCTGAAATATATCATTCTTTATTTAATAAAATTAAATTACAAGTTGTTATTTTTTACTCATTTAGAAGAATATGTCAATTGACATAGTATTTTATCGACGTGTATAATTTTATCTCATGTAGATATCATTGGACTATTGTATTTTTTTTACTTGAATAGATAAATTCAAATTGGACATATATGTATTATTTTATAAACAGAAATAATTATGTAATAATTGCGAATTATCCATAGTATAAAAAGCAACAAATACTTGATTCAATGCTATATTTGAAATTTTTCGCTTAATTTTGTATTCGCTTAATTGTTGGCTTCCAACTTAGTACAAAATATAATCAACCGACAATAAATCGTCAAGTCTTACCTGTCTCGCTCCAAGTCTTAAACGTGTAGATTGTCGCAAAACATGTTACGTGTAGATTGTCGCAAAAGACAAAACGACACGTGCGCGACTATAGAACCTCCGAATTTCTGTTCGCTATGCGAACCACCGGTCTGGAAAGCGGTCGGTAATTTTGCTCCCGCCGTACTTGAACGGGTTAAGTCGTTCCCAAGGGAAACAGCGGCTCTTCTCGAAGAAACAAGAGGAACGACGCGCTTCTTGGAACAATTGCGTTCCCGGCAGCGAAACTGTCGAAACAACGCTAATGGTGAACGCGAAAGGAGCACGTCGTGATCGCGGACTTGCCACGGTGCAGAACGTCTTCTGCACTTTCAACGCGTATTTTGCATTAATTCCGGAGGAGTTGAATCGCGCTATTCAGCGGACTTTTAATGCGAACGCGGAAAGTCGAGAAGAAGATGCGAAGCCACCAAGACATTTTTATACGCTATTAAGCGTTACATATATTTTAATAAAAGAAATTCTTGATGAAAACATAAAGGAAAAATAAAAGCAATCTCTCGGCTACATACATAAACGTAAAGTTAAAACTAATTAATATGTGCGCCAAGATAGGAAAATATGTTGAATCTAATATCACTTATATTGTTAAAATAAATAGCCTCACATCTCACATACGCACGTAAAGAGTATTTTATATTTTTAATCTCTCTTTTTTTCTCTCTTTCTGTTCTTAACGTCATACGATGACGGGAATCACGTGGCAAATTTTGTTTGTATCCGAAAATATCTCGGCAAGATACATTGCCATGTTTAATACAAGACGAAGGTGTTAAAGCTTCCCGTCTCTCGTTTCGAACAAAATTCAGGATCTCATTTGGATCAAAGATTGTTTGCAGAAATTGATGAGATATCTGCCGCGATCGAGTAGGTACTTGTGAAAGATGAGCGAGATGCGTCATGAGCGATGCACGCAGGATCGATGGATTCTATCTCGCGGATCTATCAACGAAGCGATGAGAAGCGAAATAGCAGCGGATTCGAGAGGAATATAATCGCGCGCGATTTTATCGGAACGGTTCTTCGCGTGTAAGGGCCATGTTTTAAGTTAAACTCGTTCGCGCATCGACACTGCGAATGAACTGCGCCGATCGAATCGCGAAAGATTACGCGTTTTAATATGAAATAAAGAAAGAGAGAAAAATAATTGCGAATCCGAGCGAAGTGCACCGACGAATTAACGTCGATGATTATGTACGTTCATCTCTTTAGCGCTTTAAGCCTGCCAGGGTTAATGTTTGATGCTTAATGCCCTAAGCCCAACAGAGTTAACGCTTAATCCTTGACACTTTAAATCCGTCCCAATGGCGATGCATTACTATGCTATATAGCATATAGGAGGATTTACGTTACATTCTCCTAATACCAGAAGATATGCAAATGATGGAGAGAATTTAATAATGCAGCATGTATCTATTTTTACAAGATTTTTCAAATAGACGGAATGTATAATTAACACACGTTATATTCAAACGTAAACGTAATCCTTTCACAACGTTCATTACTCTATCGATTGTCACGTGTAAAAAGCTTTCTCGTAATTTATATTTTTTTCCGACTTTTTTTTTGCCCGAGAAACTTATTCGTTGAGAAACTTTTAATATTTTAATTATATGCTAACATAAAGCGTCATCCTTTGATTATACTATCGTCACTTTTTACGCCGTTCCTTTTTCACATAATTACATAGCTCGTGGCGTGGGTGATCTAGCTTTATGAAGAACCGCTGCTATTCTTTTTCACGCACTTCTTTAGCTTCATCATCCTTTCTTTCATGCCTCACTCGGAAATATGTTTTTTTCCCTCTAAGTGATGAAAGCCCATGATATTCTCTATATATTAAGCTTATGATATTTGATATAAAGATTGATGAAAGGTATGAAACATGTCTTTATAAAAATTATTTCAGAATCATATTGTCTTTAAGGTAAAATTATTTCAGAATTCAGATTGTCCTTAAGGTTTCTCTATGAAAAAGTTTTATAGTTTTGCATAAAAAATATCCTCTCTTGTATATAATTCCTATAAAAAAATAATGTATCAATTGTGCGAAGTTCTTAAATTACAAATAGATATGCAAAAGTCGGTAATTTTTGTTTCTTAATTTTTAATAATGTCAGTAAATTCAAGTTAGCAGATTTTGTGCCATGTAGAAGCAAATGCGACGGCGAATTATTTTCTGTAAGAAGAGGTAGTTAGGACTTGAGTAACGTTCCGCTATTATTGAGCAAAGAAGGGTGAGGAATAGAGAAGGGCGAGACACATGACGTAGTTCACAGATGTGTACGTGGCTTCTTGCTCTTTCGCTCTGTCGAATGCCTCTCACGTACGACGCACGTGTGGCTACGTGCGGTTCCGCTTGCAAATCAAGAGGAGAGAAACGATGTGAATGTGAGCAAACATTTTCTATGCTAAAATTAAAATAGCAAATTGGTTAACTAATGTTATATCAATAAATAATTTCAAATGATGGCAAGGAACGAATGGCAATATTATTCAGCACGCGCGCAGCATTTAAAATATACTTGCTTGTATGAATTTAAAAGTCATTGCAATTCCAGAAAGCTCAGTTTTATATTAATATATCGTAATATTTTTTTCATTACCATTCTAACGAACGATATTTCAATTATTACAAATTTTGTTATAGACGCGTATTAAAAGGTGTATTATATATATATTTGCTTTATTTAGATAAAATATAGATTTTCCGTGCTCCGAAATTCTTTGCTAAAATAAGATTCACCGATACTCGCCGTATTTTGCTTCCGCGCTTTAACTGCGCGACCTTTTAAGTTCCTTCCGCAGGATATCGAGTATTGGATCTACTTACAGTTATTAAATTTTCAAAGCTCTTATCCAGACATGCCCGGCGGCAACATCGAATATGTACTTACGACTAAGCTTAGAATTCTCGACTCTTCCGGAAGGCTTGATGGAAGAGGAAGCAACTTCGCTCTTTTCATAGCAATTCTCGAACTTATACGACAGGAGTTTTGTACGCCGCAAAAGCAGGTGTAGAGGAAGTAAACCCGCGTGAACGTACATGATGAATGAACAAGATAATAAGGAGAAAAAAAGGGGAGGGAGATACATGTATATGACATTTTATGATAATTTCGAATCGTATGAAAATTTATCTCTTTCAATTAGAAAAGCATACATTTGTAATTAATATGCGTATAATCTATTATTGAAAAAATAAGGTAAAAGATTGAAAATACATATCTCTTTCTTTATACAAGGAATGAGCATCACATAATTAACATGCTTCTCTTGTTTGCGTTCATAAATTGAACAAATTTGAAGATTAATGTATGAAGAAAATATCTATTTCATTTATAACATCACGTTAGAGAGCAAAATTATTGAGACCAAGTGCGTCACGTTACTGTTAGAAATGAACATATCTCCATCGAGATGAAGTCCCGCGTGTCGTACTGTAGAATCTTACGAAGAGAGAAGCGTTAAGACCGCCTGAGCTAAAATACAAAAGCAAAGTTATAATACGAGTATAATACAACACTGTCTCGAGCGTTCTCTCGCGCGCCGTATCTCACGTCCCCGGACGATCCACGTATCGTCCGGGAGGGATGCAAATTGTGTAGCGGGCGTGCAATGTTCTCCGATCTGTAGTTAGCAATTCTCCCGTCTCTATTCCCTCTTACGCGCTTACGAAGTTGCGGAGTTTCTACAAGACTCCGAAGCAAGAGGAACGGTTCTCGGCCCTCGAGAGGAGCTTAACCGGCGGGCAGAGAACGGTAACTTTCGCGTATATAACGTATATAGTATTAGTGTTACGCGTGCTACGTTATCGTTCGGGTGGAATTTCACCCTTCTCTCTTCTCTCCTGGAACGCGAAGCGGTTAAACGGGGCGAAATGGAGAAATATCAGAAGAAAGGAATGTGCGCGTCTTCCCTAAAAATCTCCCGTGACTTTCGAAAGACCGGCATTAAGCTAGACATAACGCGCACCTTAATGAAAGAAGATGCCATAAAAGAAATTCTTCCTTTGTTCAATTATTCTCAGTTTTACGTGATATCACTGTCGGAGCTAATGAGATCATTTTGTTGCGCATATTTTATAAATATTCTGGAAATACAGGATTGAGTACATTTTTGCAACTTTATATAATATCTGTTGCATCTTTTTATGTACTTTTTAATATTAAAATTATTCTTGTGTAATATTTTATATGTAAAGTTTAAATTGTAGAGGTAAAAATATGCGCCGCAAATAATATATTTGATGCAGGAAGACCGCAGTTGCAAAAAATAAATAATAGGAAGCATTTGCGCGTCTTTATAAATCTTTCAGTACGAATTATTCAAGAATTCTGTTTTTTTTTACTTGCAGCAACAACAACAGCAAGCGCAGCAGCAGCAGCAACAGCAACAACAACAGGTCGGCTCACCGGGAAGCGGAAATGTGGGGAAGGGCAGCCCGTCTCCCGGAAATTCGTCATCTCCCGGTACGGTCGCTACTTCCAACAAATCCCAAACCGAGCCGAAACCGGTGGAGTGCAATCTGTGCCATCGAAAATTTAAAAACATACCGGCTCTTAATGGCCATATGAGACTCCACGGTGGTTACTTCAAAAAGGTAAATTCCATATTTGATAAGGATAACGCTCGTGGAAGCGCTTGTTTATGTATTTATGCAGATTTATGGTATATAGCTAAGAGTCCGATAAGAAAGGCGTAAGAGAGGGAGACTTGATGCTATAAAATATTCTAATGTTTTATCTTATGACTTATGCCGTTTATCTCAGATATTTTAAATGTAGCGATTACGAAAAGCTTTATCGGAATAATATATAACGTGTCCTCAGTTTGCCGCAAATCAAAATAATTAAAATTACGCAAAGTTGTAATCAATTATCCTTAAGTGATCAAATTGATTAAACTTTACATATATTCGATATTTGGCAGAAATTAGATAAACATTAGATACTATCTGATACGTTACACATATAATTTTTTTATCTCTACTTAGAATTGTATTAATTTCTTGTTTTTTCATTTTTTTCTGAAAGAAAACCGGATTAGAAATTATATATTTAAAAGGAAAAAACTATGTCAAATATGTTAATTTAATAACAAATGTACATATCAAAAAGATAATTTTTAAATTTCAACGTGAAATGATAATAGACGTAAAATCTCATACGTTGTGCTTACTTTCGGTCTCGGCCATTTCTTTGGAATAAAGGAACTCATCTCGCGGCGACTTATTTCATTTGCATCCGCGCGAGCGCATCGTCGAAACTTCATTTTCGGCACGAGAACTTTAATATTCAAGAAAATCTCGGCGTGGTTCCGCCAAAGTTATAGCGCCGACGGTTGCATCACCATATGAATTCGCAATCGCGCGAAATCACGCTCGCGCGCCCGCTTGCGTTGCATCCGAATAATCAACCGGCGTTTCTATGAAAATCTCATCAAGGCATCGTCGCCATCGTCGTCTCGAAGCCTCGAGAAACGCGATACTCGAGAATGCATTCTCGAGGTGATAATCGCCGCGGCAAAGAAAATGGCAAAAAGTGATATAAGAGAATAGAGATCGCCCCCGAAGATCCGCGCGGCTTCAGCACACTTTGCTCCCTTTCCCCTCTCTTACTTCCTCGCGTATCCCCTCTTTTCGTTTCTTCCTTCATTCTTAAACGAAGGAGGACAGCGGTGTTCTTAATAAGGTCAAGGGGTAGGGGGTTGTTGCAGCCATTGAAATAGAAAGATCAGCAATTCCGCGAACGTTCTCTCTCTCATCGTTCGTCCTTCAACCCGCCCTCCCGTCTCTCCGATGCTCTTCTCTCGCTGATTAAAAATGTCTTAACGAAGACTGCGTCGTTTAGAAAAGTGCTGAAAAACTCGTCGGACAAAAGTTTCCTCTTTTTCATCCGATCCCGGTGGCAGCGAGCGAAAAGGAAGGGGGCGGAAGGATGGCAAATGGCGAACCGGAGATGTTCTTTATTCTGCAATTGAAAGACGATGACGTAACTCGTAGCGGGGAATGGGTAGGAATAAACCGGTCGCGGGCATTAAAAGGCAAGAAGAATTATAATCGACGTATTGAATCGCCGTGCATAAATCGAGACGTTTTTTCAACTCGTGAAAGCTTTACCACACGATTGCGAAAATATAAAAGTTTTCAAAAGAATTATAAGAGAGAAAAGTCTAACTTTTTCACGGATATCTAATATATATTTTAGTTGGATATGAATGTGAAGACAGAAATGAAAAAATTCCAAATTCTTATAGATTAAAATTGTTTCTCGGCACATTTGACATTTTCTTCAGAACTTTTAAATAGAAATTTTCTAAAAAATTATAACATTTTAAAAGAGTCCCTCTGTATAACTTGATATAAAGATGAAATTATACTCTCGGATTTCAATATCTTTCTTTAGAAATGTGCAAGACGGTATTTATTAACATGTTTAAGTAATAAATGATTTTATTTATAGTATTCTTCATGTACATGACGTTCGCTCTTATAAATCTTAAGTCTGCTTCCCCCATCATCTCTTTGCGATTCTGACAAATATGTCGAATTAATTTTTCAATCAACGTTTTTAACGATCGTCTAACATTTCGCCCTTGTTTCTGATTCATTCTGTTTCTCCTTATTCGATTCATCGCTGTATAAGCGACGACGGATGGAAAGACCCAAATCGATAACGACTCGATAAAGATTGGAGCGAGGCGAGTATGAGAGTGAGTAAATCAGTGAAGGCGAGATAAAGTACGGACAAGAGCGAAAAGAGACGTAGCATTGGTGGATAAGAAAGGTAAGGCGATGATCGAATCCAAATGAACCCATTAACAAGCTCTTTGGTTCCACCCGAACCAATCCGCAGCAAGTCTGTTGATCGGGAATGGAAAAGAGAAGAAGAGAACAAGAGAGAGAGAGAGAGAGAAATAATTCAACATAGCCTGAGGGAAAAAGAGAAAGAGAGAGAGAGAGATGGAAGAGAAACGCAGCACGCGCGGAGAACCCCGTACAAACATTGTCTCGAGCTTTCTCCATTATGCAGATTGAATCTGACTGGTTACGGTCGGGGCTTTCAATGGCGCTCTGCTCTCGTTTTGAGCACCCGAGTTTTCACCACGATACCACCTTCGCCTCCTGCTCCTACGTCTGCCTTTTAACTTCTCTTCTCTCCTTTCGCCGTATATTCGTTCGTTCGTGTTCGAAGGTTTGACTAGCAAGGGTGACCGATGGACACTCCGCTATCACGAAAGTTCTATCCCTCTGGCAGTGTTATATTCCTCTTTTCATGGTCGAGCTTTTGCCGGGCGCGTACCGACCGTATGGAATTATTGAAAAGTTTAGATGGTCCTTCGAATTGCGATATAACCGACCTAATGCACGTCGTGTATACATCCTCGTCCTGGGAACGGGGTACGCGGGAAAAAGGATAGCAAAACACGAAAACTCATCGAGTTGTAGGCAGAGCCTCGTCCACCATGAAACCGCGCTCGTTGTTGTTTAGGGTTCACGTCCGCGGTGAGAGGAGTTAGCGACCGCGCGTTTGGGTTCGTTAAGTGGCACAGCTGCTGTTAATCCCGCGGCCGGGGAGGGGAAGGAGAGACGCTCTTTCGGGGCCCGCGAACCCGCAGATAGACATTGTAGTCTGTGTGAGCTTTAGAGCGAATTACGGCATGTAATTTGTTGTATTTCCGGAGGAATCGCCCGCATATGCCGCTCCTGCTTCGCGGACTACTGGCCGTTTTTCATTACATTGTACCGCCGTGTGACGAATGATTTTTCGGAGCGATAAATCGTCAGCAATAAATCTGCGCCGACGCGTTTCAGATTTATTTTCTGTAAGTAGTTGACGTGCAGCACGATTGATCGTCCGAAGGTAGGAATTGTTGGAAAACATACGCGCGCGTAGCGCTATGGATTTTGTCGATTGATCGATGCCCCGCCGATGGCCGAGATAAGAACAAGAAATATTGGAAATATTGTTGCACGGAACCTGGCAGAGCGTCGTTCATTAATCGCTTCTTTGTAATCGTGCTCAAAAACATGGTCTACGTGTCTCTTCTCTCCTGAATTGCATTACTTGCGCGATCGTAAAATAGAATACTGATAGATATATTGATTAATCAAGGTACGTTGACTGACAAAGATAGATACATTCTTTTCTCCACAGCTTTACAAAAGATGTTACAGTTTTACAAAAGTGTTAAAAAAATAATTCGGAATTATAAATATATCGATAAATCAAGATAACACATTCTTTTTAGAATGAGTAAAAATAATTTGCAAAAAAAAAATTCAAAAGTCTAATCGTGGGGAATGGCGGCCGCTAGATAACTCTGGTAACTGGAATCGACACGGATCGAATTGATGAGTCCGGGATCGGTGCGGCGCGGCGGACGTTCTGCAATCAATTCCACGTATTAACGACCGCCGATCAATATTCATGAAGCAAGCGAGCGGTGTACGCCCCGTCAAAGACAGAGTACAATTTCATGAGAGGCATGATACAATATATATATATATATATATATATATATATATATATATATATATATATATATTGCACTTATGTTTTCACAATTGTTTATATATATATATATATTGTGAAAACATAAGTGCATCGCGTTACATACATCAAAGATAGGAAATTGAGAGCCGCGAGATGATGACTGCCGCACATCGTGTATCCGGATCATTGAGATTGGATGAAGATGATGACGCTTGTATCCACTGATATATTGTTCGCTACTATGGGCGCCAGCGAGATGCAGATGCGGGAAATGTATGCGCGAGGCACCCTCGATGGTATTAGTATGCTAATTATAAACGTGTCCCTGTGCCGAAACTCGTGGAGAGGTCGATCAGTAGGTGCTCGGGAACAGACAGCTATCCCATGAGACGTAAAGTTCAATTGCACGACACGTACGACTCGCGAAAACTTTAAGTAATATAACTTTGATGCGTCTCAGGAAAAAAATTACGCGGACTTGAGGAATTCTCGCGCTTAATAAGTTAAGAGGTAAGACTGGTAGTTCACAAGATTCAAGAATGCGATTGGATGACTATAAAGATAATAAATCTATGCAATGATTTCAAGCTGTCATTGTTCCGTAGACAGTGCTATATTTTTTGATCGCTTTTTCGATAGATCGATATGTAACATTGATGGATAAATGAATGAGGGAATTTCATTAAAAGTTTTTAGCAATTCCTGATAGCATTGAGCAATTAAAAGCCTTTTAAGAGCAATTTAAAAAGAGAGTACAATATTAATAAAGATGATTGCAAACTATCAAAATGCAATTAGTATTTTTTAATCTGATCGTATTTGAATACAGGAATTGAACTTTCGCAACTCAAGTTTATCAGAAATCGCTCAGACTACCTTCGCAAGATCTAGAAACAATGCAGACTATCTTTCGACGGGATGTATTATATGATGTTGAATCGCGCACGCCAGAGATTCCATTAGGATATAATCCAATGGGCACCTCAATTAGCCTTGCTCAGTGATTAGCGTGCATCTCTGAATCCTCTTGCCCTCCTTCACCATTGTAGTCTCTCTACACATCTCCCTTGTAGTACCCTGCGCGTCAATTTGCCCGTGATTTGAGCTTCTAATCTAGGTTCTCCCGTCATGAGTCCTCCGCGGCCGAGACGACTGAAGATTCCGATTAGAATATAAGTCCTCTGAATAAGCTTGAGCGAAGTCCTGCTATCATACGCGTGACGTATATTCATCCACAACCAGCTAACAACGAGACGCTCAGCTAACACTTTTCGATGCCAAATATTCTGCTATAATAGTCACTTCTTCGCGCGATCGTAGGATAGGATAGCGATCTTTCCTTTTGTTCGCTAATTCAAATTTTGATCTCGGATGCGAAGGATACACGGAAAGTTTATATATTGCTTGTGCTTTATCTTCTTGCTGCGCAATTTTGATTCTTTTTAACGATTCGTCTGTTTTATTTGCATGTTATAGGATGCAGAGAATAAGAAGAGCGAGAAGAAAGAGGTCATCGGACCACCTTTGCAGACGGCATCGGTCAGCGTGAGAGCACTCATCGAAGAGAAAATCATACAGAAAAGAACGACAGGTAAGACGAGAGAGATTCTCTCGGGACCACGTGTGAATTAATTATATTCACATCTTTTATAATAATGCGATGTTATATTAATCACGTCATATCGATAATAAAGTTATCGCTCGCGTATTTTCGCGAGTAGAAAAGATGTATCTTTCGATGCAATACGGTCGACGCAATGTCATTGTTCCGTTTAGAATCCCGAAGGGATATATACGCGGACATATATACGCGTGTCATAACTGTGGTGAAAAAAGAATTAATACAGTGTTCCGGCGAACGATGCTGAGAACACAGAATCCACGAATGCGATTCCGGCGCTGATTTACGGACGTGCATCCCGATTCGATCGTGTATCTCCCGTTATGCTCTGACCGTTCATCTGTTCTCGGCTCTTTCTCCCTCACGCGTGTGTACGTGCATTTGCCAGAACCTCTCCCTCCCGCCTTCCGTGATATTTCGCGGGGGCCTCCTCTCTATGGGGGCATACAGTGTATGGACTGCCGAAGAACCGTGATTTACGAAGCGAACACGCCAGAATATTTCTCGCATTGTCCACGTTAGCGCGATAAATCAAGTCTGGCGGCAGTAGCAGAACGGGCCGGTGCGTGCTTTTGTAACAAAGTGCGCGTCGTTAGCGATTTATGCGCGATTTCGCCTCGGCATCTGCCAAGAACGACGAGGGACGATCCGACCCGGCGCCTTCCGCAGTATGGCTCCTTTCGTTTCAGTAGCCGTAAACCCGAAATAAGCGCGAAATAATCGCCGGGGTGCGTGCATATCTTTGCGGACATATGCGGATAATCGTTGGTCGTTAACCCTCGACAGCTCAAAATAATCTCGAGAAAATGATTCATATTAACATCCATTTATATATATATATGTATGTCGAAATAATCAAAATTTTCGCTTCGGAATTTCTTAAAAATATTTATTTCTGAATGTATATGTATGTGTATGATGTTAGAATGAATTTGTGTTTCAAAATGAATACGTTTGAGAAACTTTAAGAAATTTGCAAATTATTTATAATTAAAAAATAATTTGTATGATTCTTTTTTTAATATAAATAGATTGAAAAATTAACGGCCGTTCATAACTATTTAACTTTGCGATAATAAAAACGTATTTCTTTAATAAATCTTGATTTAATTTTGGAGGTTTATTGAAATTATTTAGACTTTAATATTATTCATATTTTAACATTAGCCAACATATATAATTAGATTCCTCAATCATTTATTCGCGCGTAAGAGCAGATGATGAGGGGAAACGGCTCTGTTGCAAGTAGTTTAGATCGATTATTAGTCGCGACATTGTAACATGGCGACGCAATAAACGATCAAACTTCTTCTCAAACTCTGTCCTGGCGCACGATGGACTCGAAAATTCTATGAATATTCGATCACGACCGATTATTAATCAGCGTACAATAGGAACTGTGATGTCTACACAACGTCGTTTCCATTGGCGCGCCCGGGAATTGTTGACAGTCATTTAACCCGGCCGTTGTTGTCGGGCATTATTTTTTGAAAGCCTCGAAAGTGGCCGCACAACAAGATCGATCGATAAATAATTTGCTGGCGAGAGCGGGTGCTAGTTTGGCGCGATGTGTCGTTGACGATGCAGGGGAATGCCACGTTATTTGGTTGTGCAACGGTGCTAGCGCGCATTTTTGACAAAGGGTGGCGAGAGGATGAGAGCGCGCTCGGTCATGCTGGTTGTCCAACGAAATATCGTCTATCGGACGCTTCGCGTGCATCAAAGAACGCGTAGGGGTGTCTGATAACAATCATGCGATAAATCAAACAAAGAATTAGACCTTTGACATATATTGAGACGATTGTTGCTATGGTCGAATTTAATTCCTCGTAAATGTATATCAATAATCTCTAAAACGACAATTATAATTTGAATCAGTTAAAGTATCATTTTTATTATGTAAATTTAATTATTATAATTATTGATCCATGTGTCTTATTATTACACTTAAATATTAATAAATATATAATAGAAATCCAAATCGAAATTTTATCTATTAAGATAAAATTGTATATGAAAAAATATAGAATTATTAAATCGAATTTTTGCTAAAAAAAATTTCAAGGTTGGTAAAAAAATTTGTATAGAAAAAATATGTATGTGTATGTATGTATATATATATATATATATATATATATATATATATATCATGTGGTATATATGTGATATATATATATATATATATATATATATATATGCTCATGTGAAAGTATCACATATAGATACATGGATTATCAGAACAAACGAAACTTCGCTTTGTTCTCTCGGCTTTTTCGCTACTGCTGCTGCATCGACCGCAACAATTTCCATTCGAAGTGCGGATCGGACAGGTCAGAGACAGGCCCGCGCGTCTGCCTCGTTGGAAGCAATTTGCCTCGCCGCGATCGATGATTGGCAATTTGTAAAAATATCACGCAGTCCCACGTCAGTGTGTTCCGGTAACGTTGTCACATGTACATACATAGATGGTCATGGAATTCACGGTTTATGTAAATGCATAAGTTTCGCATGCCTTTTGCGCGCGTTGATCGATAAAATCGAACAAACCGCGTTGCGCTTTTTACGAACAAAAAGGGGATATTCGTTGTTTCATACACGAAATCTACAAGCATTCGAATCCTCTAAGCGTATTACACATTAGAGATAAAATTAAATGTAATTTCATAAATTTACAAGAAATGAATTTGTTACAGTGTCGATCATGGCATGACGAGAAAAAATTCATATAATATTCTCATTTACAAGAAGACTGCTCCTATCTGAAGAGCGCCAATTACACGTTACGTGTGTGATAAAAATGTGTAGAGTATGGTGGACGGTATATGGTATAATGGCCAAAAAAGTAATGGAAAAAGAATCGGCTCGAAGCCAGAACGAAGGCCAGATATTCATGAAATCGTCGTGGAAAAGTTTCGTCGCGATACAGCTGTACACTCGAATCCCATTTCCTCCTTTCGCCCCCTGCGGCGCCCAGGATATGCACGCATTTATTTCCGCCGAGTTGTACAGCTACCATGAACGATTGTGCACGCCGTAAAATATATTTTTCAGTATGCTGCGATTTCAGCGGAATATTTATTATGGCGCACGATAGACCGCCAAGTGCGAAATGAACAGTTGCGTATAGATTGCTTTTCGCGCTTTAGTCTACATAAAAGAAAAGATATGTACATTTTTCCATTAATTAATTGAAACTTCGAGTAAATTGGACAAAAATAATACATGATTTTACGTAATAAAAATTATATTATTACAAATTATTGAGTTTTCTTTGAGAGTTGAGTTTTTTTAGAAAATAATTTTACCTATAGATATTTTGATTAATTCTCAAAAAAATATGTAAATTTCATCGTTTATATTTGTGCGAAAAGAAATTAACTTCTGCATTTTATTTGGATACTTCTCAACAATGATTATTATTAGAAAAAAGTCACTAATATTTTTTTTCCATTTATTCGACACATGGCATGTGGGCCGAATGTATTTCATGTCTCTGCTCGGTTATAATACTCTGTCATCCGCGCGCGCTTTCGTAAAAATTGAGTCAGTCCGTCGGACTACGGAATACATTATAACTGGAACGGCATGAGCGCTTTTTGAAATTTAAATGCAGTTATTCTAGCAAACCCACTGTTCTCAGAGTATGCCGTGACGTACCGGTACGCACGCTTTTTTGAAATTTAAATATTGTTATTTTTAGTGATACAAAACGTACCGAAAAATTTTTATTGCGCGGACAGAGAGAGAACACGATACGACGTATGTTGTTGCTTCAGCCAATCCTCTCCACGTTTTATTCCTTTTTTCCTCTCTTCAATTACATATACGTAAAGGCAAAGGAAAACAAAAACCATCATAGCGCGCACATCGTGCGGCAGCTGAAAGAGAGCAGAAAATACGCGACGGCTATTGTCGAGGATGAAGGGCGAATCAAGGAAAAAAAGAGGCGGCAAAAGATCCTTTTATTGCGAACGCATATATATTCCCCGTTTACGCATACTGGAGAGAAAGAGAAAAAAAATTCTCTTTCGTTTTGCGTTTCACGGTTTTCTGTAAACTCTGCATTTCTTTATTTCGCTCGGAAACGCGAAACGTCTCGCACGCATTATGTGTTGTTCTATAAAAGAGAAAAAACGTCTTATTAATCAAAATTAAATTCATTTTCCGCGATCGTAAATATGAAGTTTTCGGGATTTTCTATCGCTCTCGATATTTATCTCGATATTTGAAAATGAAATGCAGGATAAATTACATAGAAACATCATGTATATTTATTGCCAGTTATTAAAAAAAAGCTGTCGCTTTTCAGAAATGTAATTAAAAATGAATAAAATATGAAAAAAATTTTCTCTCGTCAAATAAGGATGATTATCGAAGATATGTTTGTGCGTTGAACATGTATTGTAATTACATTGCTTGCTATAATTTAATACGTATAAAATTTTTTTTAATGTGCAGATTTTTCTTAAATCAAACAAAAATTTGGCAAAAGATATTCAATAGAAAATATATACGTTCTAGCAGCGGACGCAAATGCCAATCAACAGCCTCGTACGAATGCCACCGTCTTCACCACGCAAGCCGATGCCGTCTCACAAATGGCCGGCAAGACGAACTTTGCGGTGCCAGCACCACCACCATTGGCGACAGCAGAGAAAGTGCGCCGGCTCTCTGATGGTGAACACTTCCGGCAGCCAAATGTCACCGTGAGCGGTCACGCAACTGTGCAAAAGCAGCTGCAGGAAGCGCAAACTCAGGCTCAAGCGCAAGCGCTTGCCGATCTGATCCTGAAGGTCAGTAGATATCAGTAGATTTGCTTATCGTTATTCGAATATGATTTCATTGCGATGATATTTGAGAAAAGATTATATAAATTAAGAATTTAATCTTGATATAGTTATATTTTGATTTAACGTATGCATATCGCGAATAAATTGTAGGGAGCGAAGGTGGCTGTGAAGAGAACAACCTCTGATCCAGGACAAAGATTACATCTAACTTATCAACAGCCTGTGCAATCAGCGACGACTAATCAACAACCGAATAATCAGCAGCCGCAGGCTCAACCTGCGGTAACAGAAAGCTTCACGATGACAGGTTACGCCGAGGATGGTGGTTATTTTAGTCCGAGTTTGCAGGACGAAGTGTTTCAACAGGTCACAACAGTCCCTGACAGCGTGCTTTTGCATGCTACGCAATTGGACTCAATTCAGGTGAACAACTCTAATCGATACTACTTGTTGTCGTTCCGTGAATACTCATAATTTGCATAACATTGCATTATAGAAATTATATATAAATACAGTTTTATCAGGAAAGATTATATATCCTCAAGTTATTTCCGATCCAATAAACATGTTGTAAATACAAGTAGAGAGAAAAACTTTTAGTTTTCGTTTTAAAATCATCTGTGAAACTTTATACTCTTTTATTATTTATGTGGAATGAAGAAAAAAGAATGAAAAGAAGAATATTTCCATTTTCTAATCGTGTATATTCTTGTATCACAGTTTCAAACGGCCAGCCTATTGCAAGAACAATCTACCGAACAGCTGCAGGATATCACATTAGAAGATCGATACTCATCGCAGCACACAGTCAATCCGGACTTACAAGCGTTGGTAAACTCACCGTTGCCTGACTCGTTGGCCGAATTCAGTACTTATGCCGCGCAATACACGGAAAGTCCTCATACATTACCGACCCAGTCGCCCTTGCCATCGCCCTTGACACGACATGACAGCCCGAGCTTCACATATCCCACCCCACCAGCTAGCCAGGAAGGTCTGCTTACTGGAAGCCTACCGTTGTTAAGTCCTCAAGAGGATCCGGAAAATGTAAGACAAGTGTCGTCACCGCTCTCGGCGGCATTTTACACCACCACAATGTCATCTGCCGCGGCTGTGGAGGAGGCGTTGAACGAGGTGTTGCCGGGCGAATCCGAGGCGGACGCGGACCTCTATGGGTCCGGCTCGCCGAATCCGCACTCGCCACTGCCAAGCCCATTGTCGGCGACACCAGCACCGTCGCCGCTGTCCTCGCTGCCGCCGTCCTCTGTCTCGTCGCCGGGACCGGTCGCCTTCACCGGCACGAGCTTTCCCGTATCACCGCATCACGCACTCCAAAGCCAAATGATGCCAAACTCAGAAGATCCGTTGTTATCCTCGACTCCGAAGGACTTTACCGCCTCCGGTCGCAGGCGATTTGAGTTCCAGTCATATAAACTTATCACGAGCCAGAACTTCGTGGACTTTGGGCTCGGAAACGGCAGTCTGGCTGGCATCGTCGTCGATAATAATGGCGAGTTTAAATTGATACAGACGGCGGGTCTGCAGAAAGCGAATGTATTAGTGCAGGCAGGTTCGCTCAGTCCAGCGTTGACGTTCAAAAAGGAGATTCGTCTGGCAACGCCGAAAGTCGAGCCTGTTACCGTGAATCTCGGCTTGAACGTCCAGACGAATCAACAGCAGTGCAACGCGGGAGGACAATTTAATCAGCAGCAAGTCGTCAATCCGGCCAAGTTTCTCATTCAAACTAATCACGCGACAAAGAATAATATTTTGAGACACAAATTGGCTACTGGAAATTTACCGATTCCTGTCGAACAAATCAAAGAGGAACTGCTAGATGAAGATGTCTTTCTCAGTCCTGGCAGTTTACCCGCCAATAGTCCTGTACGGCATTGTCGGAAGAGGCCGCGCATGGATGGTGGCCAATATGCCAACAGTTCGCATTCTTATCCATCGCGACTGCGGAAAGCTTGCGATCGCCATTGGGACAGCAGCTATACACCACCGCCGATCCTAGATCCATCTCGTCCTGGCCCAGGGTTGTATGCAAGATTACATCAGCACGAGAGAGATTCGGACTTCAGTTCAGATGACTCTCAAGGAAACGACGGTCCGCCGCCAAGAATCAACATCGGCACGAGATATCAAGCCACGATACCGCCGGTCGAATGCAACGGGGATAGGGGGAAGGACGGGTCGGAGACCGACCACCTTTTGTGGGATCCCGGCATAAACAACGTACTCACGAACACCGAGCGTAAGTCTTTTGTTTCAATTATATACCTTGAATTATATACTTTTTTCAACTATATACCTGAATAGCATATAACAAAATATATGAAAATTAAATGTCGCATGTTGCTTGCAGTGGAGATGTACCTGCAATTCGCGTGTTGCGCCGCGGTACCGGGCGGTGGTAGAAACAAGGAATACGCGCTTCACCTGTTGCATATGTGCAAAGGAAATATTCGTGTAAGATATTTTTTTTCACTAAGTATGATTCGCATAAATATATCAAAATTCTTCACTATTTTCCGAATTTTTTCAATTATCTTATATTTTAGAAATAAAATCATCATTATTGTATGTGACACACTCGATATTGATATATCCGATATATAGGTATATGTATATCTGCTTTTAGGAAGCGATGGTGAAATTAATGCGGCCAACACCTACGCTACCAGTAGAGCATCCGTTACTCAGCTACGAATGCCACGAGTCCGATAGATGGACGTCACACGAAATGGACGTATTCTATCAAGGACTGCTCAAGTACAACAAAGACTTCTCCGCGATTTCACGGGACGTCGGTGCCAAGACCGTGAAACAGTGTGTGCAGTTCTACTACCTCTGGAAGAGGCTCTGCCCCGATGAATACAAGAGGTTGCGTATTCGTCACGGAAAACCAAAAATCAAAAGCGAAAGAGATTGCAAGGACACCAGGGAACTTCGCGATGCCATCGCATCGGTGACGGAAATGGACTTTGGTGAAGAAAAATCAATTCTTCACCGTACCTTAGTAAGTTTACTTTATTGTTACTTTTTGCTTTAAATTATGTAAACGCCATCGGAGTATGTATACATATATGTAAATGGATCTCTACTTTTCTTCCGATTAGCTACAAACAAACGAGAGAGAAAATTCGGCGACTCTGACTACTAGCGAAGGAGAGCTGAGGTTATTCGCATACGACTGCCCAGATGTGAGTAATAATATACACTACAATCTATATAAATATTTTTTATCCATTTTATACGTTTTTTTATAATATATTAATTATACAAATCCATATATCTAACTCTTGTGATAATGATATTATGTAAAATTTCTGTAAATCAAAAATAAATTCTTCTTTCAAATCTTTATCTCTCACTTTAGCCAGTTTATATATTGTTATATATATATATATATATATATATATATATATATATATATATATATGATTCACACAGAAGAAGAAATACATTTACATAAATTATTTCTATATTTGTTACTCACCACATATTCTATTTCCTCACTTACACCAAGTACGTATCTTTTATATCTGTTATATTGATTATATTTTTTTAAATAAAAAAAATTTTAGTCTGGTTGTAAATACTATTTAATATTAATATGATGGAGAAAGTTTCGTACTTGGTGTTTCTAAAATAATCTTACACGCGTACATACGTGTGAACATTTAAGTGTCGCATGAGATTGATTGTTGATCCGTCGTTTTCTCACGCTTTATTTTAAAAGGACCGAAGATGTTATGCGTTGTGTGATCGTTGCGTTACTTATCTGTCGTCGCCGTTGTCGTTTGTTTGTGTTGTTTATTTTGGCTTTGTGTTTTCTTTGTGTTGTCAGAGCTTTAGCGGAAGTGTAACAGTAACGATGGCCGGAAGCACCCAAACCGCCCAAATCGGCAATATCGGCCACGCCACAGTCAACACCAACTCACAAACTCACACTAGTTCTGAGCAACAACTACCCGCGCCCACCCCACTTCACTACCCCTGCAAGATTTGCGGGAAGTAAGTCTCCAATCTCTAATCTAAATTATCCATTTCCGATAATTGACGATGGAGCTCGTGCGACGCGAGTGCCCTAAAACGACAATGTAAGCGGCAAGTATTGGCATATCTTGCATAGATATCCTTGCTTGTAGAGAAACAGAGTGCCTTTCTGCGTATGGAATGAAACAAGTAGCAAAAAACGCGATGTCAGTTATATATCTTCGAAATTTTATACATTATACTATTATCAGATGAGTCACACATAACATTAAAAAAAATATATGAATATATATTTTATTTCAAGCAAATTAATGCAACAGCAAAATATACGTTATGAGAAAATAAAAAAAACACACATGATATACATATGTTTCAAATTTGAGTTTGGGTATACAAAAACATGGATATATCATTAAACAATCGTGTTTCTAAATAATTTAAAAAATTGAAAATTTGCAGTATATAATTTATAATAAAAAATTATTATATTAATTATTATATTAATTTTTTTATAATAAAATTAATATAATAATTATAATAAAACAAAATATACGTCAACACATTTTTAAAAATTATTCAAATATTTAGAAACAAACACTATACATTCACTATACAATTCCATACTATTCAATATACATATCCATATCTGAAAACTTTAATCAATAAACAAATATGGCAATAGTATTTATTCTATGACATATTAATTTTTTTTACGTGTTTTGCTATTCGGGTAATTTTAATTAATTATTTGATATACTTCATATTTGTGTGGCACATATTTTTATATTCTATTGTTATTATTTTAATTTGCTCTGTCCAAGTTTTTCTAATTATATAATATTCTCTACGTTTCACACTTTTCAGTAAAGATTATTTGTATAAATTGGCTATGTGATATGTTATAATAAATATAAAAAATTAAATATGCATAACGCAAGCATGTGATTTGTTATACCGCTGTTGCTATGTCAATATTTTTGATTCCTCACGTTATGTGTGAAATATATGTGAACATACTAAACTATACTTGTCTAAATTAAAACATAATACAACGCTTGTAGAGCGAAATGTTTTTGGATGTACAAACAAATTCGATTATTTCTACATATATCTATACATTTCTTATAAATTATTAAATCTCGTACGATTTACAACCAACATCATCACGTATTATAAATTTCATAACGCTAGATTGCGTATGAGTTTATATTGATGACTTGACGAGCGATGATTTATTTAATGTTCCAATTGCACTTTTCTTTCAGAGTTTTCAACAAAGTGAAAAGCAGAAGTGCGCACATGAAATCCCACAGGCCAATACCCTTGCCCGATTCAACGGGTCAGGAATCTAAACGACCGATACAACAGTCATCGAAAGTGCAACAACTGCAACAACCAACAATGTCATTGCAACAAAACCAGCAGCAACAGCAACAACAATCAGACAATGCTATACCGCAAATTCAAGATCATCAGCAGCAACTGCCCGCGAGTATTACCGACAACAGCGCCCAAAATACAGCACATTTATGCCGTAATCCGACGAGACCCCCATAGGACAAGATTCAAGTAATTAAACTTAAGTTACCTTAACGAAGGCTGTAATGATACTATAGGAAAGTAGTATGGTCGCGCGCGGTACTAAAGCAGGCTCTTATTAAATGATCGCACAATCGTTACAAAAATAACGCTGCAGGAATATCTTTTTATGTGAATGTGAAAATTTTTGCTCACATAAACGGGCAGGTTGCGTGATAATAAATTTCCACGATAGATAATTCCGAAAATACCTCCGTGAATACCTCCTCTGTATGTGCGAATCTGTGCAGGAGAGCGTGATTGGTAAATTTATCCGATCAGACGCGGACTAATTACATTTATGCGACTCATATGGGGAATAATTGACTGTTTAAAAAAGACATCTATCGTTAATGGAAATCGAAACTAACAATAAGCACTAAAAGAGTCGTAGAACTCGTAGGGTTTAATGGCGCAGCGGTAAAACGATCTTTAACTATGCAATCATTATATTCGAGCTCTGTTCAAGAAGGAGACAGGGTACTGACCGTAAACATTTTCCTTAATGGAAGACAAGATCAGCCGGCATCAAAGAACAAAAAATCGTCATTGAAAAATGAAGCAAACGTATAGACTTCATTTTGGCATTTTGTTGAAGACAAACAGTAAATACGATTATTTAACATGGCCTAGAAAAATCAAATACAACTCGACAAGTAAACGTACGGAAGCGTATATATGCCACTGTCGTTACAATGAGTGCTGACTCAAGATACAAAAGAGATTGACGTGCACCTACAATAAGCGCCTAATGATTAACGCGATTTCAGTGTACCTATTTATTATGCACGTAAAATATTCCCAGATTGTGCCACAAGACATTATTGTTACCTGTTGCTCTTTCACAATTTTTTAAAGATGTTTTAAATTGTTTTTTCTTCCGATTACAGCCGGGATCAGTTTGTATGAAGCCGTATTTTTCAGGCCATATTTTTTTATTTTCTTGCCAATAAGTATGTCTTATAATTTATAAATTTTATAATCGTTTAAGAGAGACATTATTAACATTTTCACTAGATAGAAATTACGTTTACAATGTTAATATTAAAATCTAAATAAACAAAAAATGGTGAAACAAATTGCGGTTTGTCAACCGATTCCGGAATGTAATGTACGACTTGTTGCATGTTCGCTCTAGTTTTATATTTAATTTAAATATCATTAGCATAGCATATCTAAAATTTGGATGAGAATAAGTAAGTTTTACCATTCATATGTAGAAGAGATTTGTTAAACTCCTTAATTTCTTTACCTCTGTTACTTTTTTTAGTAAATTAATAATATACAATTGCATAAAAATTTTAATATATATAATATATATATATATATATAAATATAAATATGTATAAACGCAAATATTGATGTAATTGAGAAGATTTCGTTTTAGCGTATAGACAAATAATCATCTTTAGAAAGGATGTTGTTCAAGTTTCACTTTAAAAGCGTTTCCTACGTCATCGATGCTGAAGGTAAACTAACGATTATATATATGCTCATGCATACATATTATACATATGCACATTCAACACACACAGACACAAAATAGAGAACATTTATTAAATAATATCAATAAATTTCAATGATCATTAAAATAGTTATATGTACATAAGATGTGTACATGTTTGTACATATAACATCAATGTCTGTATGTTATTAAAATGAGATTTATGCAAAAGTAAGTAGGCTAAGTTTTAGATTGTTTTAGGAGGGATCTATATACATATACATACATACATAATCATACATATATATATATATATATATATACATACATACATATACACAACATACATACATATATACATACATATATATGCTTGTATGTGTAAAAAAATACATATATATATACATTTTATTTCAGTTTCTACCTTATTAAAGACTACAAAGTGGCAAAGCTCTTTAACAATAACTGTAATTGCATGTTTCTATAACAATGTTTTTCAATTTTTATTTTTCCTTTAAAAGTTATAATAATAATTTCTGTAAGATATTTTAAGTAATTAAAAAAACATATTTTTTATTAGCTTATCTCTTGACAATGCATTGAATTCTTCATTTCTTTATCAGTATTGTTGTGTATTTATTCACTGTCTTAGAAATTGACATATATAAAACAAAAAGTAGAAGAATGAAAATAATTTCAAATGCAGTGTCTTTTTTTCTATTTCGTATAAAAATTGTTAATATGTTCTGATTAAAAGATTTTACAATATATATATATATATATATATATATATATATATATATATGTATATATATATATAATGTGTATCAAATATTTTTTTAGTATAAAGAGGTCAAAATTTATTTAAATTGTGAAATTTCATTTGTATATTGAAACTGCAAATTGTTATTTGGGGGAATTGTCAATTGTAGTTGCTCTAATTATATTCTTGAGAACATTGTTATTGTTAACAATCTTCTTCTTATTAACTTTTTTATCATTATTAATGAATCATAGATGGTCACACACATATACATATAATCACACATATACGCAACATACATTTTAACTTTTTAAACTTTTCTCAAATAAATACAAGTGACTGAGGACGCTTTAAAAACTCTGCCAAGTCTTCATAATTCCTAAAAAATGTCTTTAAATCTTCCATTTTTATTTATGTCAGAAATATAAACTATGATTATAAAAGTTTAAGTCAAAAATATGGAGATTTCTCCTTTATGACATTAGACATTCAGAGAAGCGTGCACTTTAATCTCTATTCTATTTCTACGTGTGTGTGTCATTAATCTTCTCCCCCATTTACAAAAATGTAATGCAAACTAAACATCATATATTCCGGCCACAACATTGCATTATCATCTATTTATTTACAGACAAGAGTAATAAATGAGGGAGTATCACCAAGGGCACTAATTTTAATGCTCATATATTATTCGAGATTTATAGCAATTTGTGTAATTCTTACGGCCTATAATAATTATATATGCGATATTCTATTAAATATCTTGGTAAAAATAAAAACTTCTATCTATTTTAATTCTTCCGATATATTCATGATATAAAATTATATTTGTAGATGTTTATGTGATAAATTTTGAAGCCCACGGAAATACTCCTTTGTAACCATATTAAAGTGACATAAATCGTTCTGTAATGATTGAGTACAGTGGCCTTCAGTACAAAAGCAAAAGAGAGAGTGTAGTATTAGAGATCTATATACTATACTATATAAGATTCTAGAATTTCGAATCTTAAAGTTAGTTCATTTAAGGAGTAAAATTGTTATGGATTTCGACCACAGGCTCAGAATGTGCATAGGTCGAATACAACAAAATTAGCAGACATATCATTTAAGACAATACACTTGTTACAGAAACTAAGTTTCTACTAATATAATTATTATTATATGTAATCTAACTCTTAATCAGATTTAGAGCTTCAAGAAAACGGCGTAGATAATAATAAATGAAACATGAGATAAAATATTGATTCTGATCAAATCCAGGAGATATAAAAATAAATAATATATATATATATATATATATATATATATATATATAATAAAAGTTTTTTATTTGCTATAATTTATTCTAAAAATTATATTAATATTTTTTTACGATTTTTATTACAATTTTAACATGAATCTATACTATCTATACTAAATCTAAATGAATCTATACTGTTCAATTTGTTTAGAAATTTTATATGATGAAAAAACTGGAATAGATTTTAGTTAGAAAAAATTCTTTCCTTTTTAAGTTGAGACAAACCTATACTCTGGATTTAGAACAGTAGCAATATGAAATATAGTACTGGAGGCTACTTATTCAAAATATAGGAAAGGCATGAAACGAAGCAATGAAACTGTAACGAAGATATGCATGAATTGTACAAACGAGTCCCTCCACGTCACAGAAAAAAATGATATATATATATCTATATGAAGAATATATATATAACAAAATGATAACACTATGTGATGTATTTAAATGGTATGTGGTATATGGTATTACATATTTGTACATAGGCGGACCCGTGCCATCAACTAGTGAGTTGTACCGATATTGTACTGCCATAAATCGAATAGCGATAACATCGAGTGAATGGATCTGAACTAATCATCGACAAATTTGTATATGATATAATTTTTGTTTTTGTGCTCTCGTACGTGTATGTGATTAGACAATTTATAACTTGAAGTTACCAACTAACACTTAACTTAATGGCTGTGCAAATGGAGCATTTTGCACTCATTGACAATTATTAATAGTTGCTTCATATTTTATATTTTATTGTATGAACAGTTTATTCATATCGAAAATTATCGTTCTGTTGTTATTATATTACTCCTATTTAAGTTGATGTCGCGCATTGCATGTTTAGACTTGTGTTGACAAGTCACGTATTTAATTCGTTAAAATATTTATTCATGTTTATTTTCGAAATCCCATAACAAGCTGACAAAAGACATTAATCGTGATTAATAATTTCGATCTTGTTTTTATAGATGAAACTTTTTACTTCTATATTACTGAACTAACATTATATTGATAATATCAGATGATATCAGTTAAAAAGATACTGATATCTCGCATTCGCAGTTGTGAGCCAAATTAAAAATTTACACACACGTTATATAACTAGGATTACCGTTGGATGGAAGAAGCGCATAATAATCGAGCAATATATAAAAGAGAAAAAGCCACACTTATTTTCTCGGCAACGAATACTTATAAATTTATTATTATTTCCTAAATACAAATTATTACGTAGAGTTAGTAATGTTTTGATGTTAAGTTAATTTCATTATATTATTGATAATTTATTTTGGTAATTACTATTATTTGGATAATCATTGTTATAATAACTATTATACTACTTATTTTGTTAATTTAAGTAAATTTTCGCGCAATAATTTTTACCGAATGTTCAATGCACGCCATAGCTTGTACATTTATAAAAACAATTTGATAATCGTCAAATAATTTAATACTGGTGAAGTTTAATAAGTTGTGGAATATATTGGTACAACTCGATGAAGAAAGTGTAGCGTGGTTATACACCTGAGGAATGTGCTCAAAATATTGTATTAAAGAGAAAAAAGTCTACTAAATGATCATCAACGTTTATGCAAAATTACTCTTAATAAGTGAAAAAAAGTTATTACGGATTATTGATATCGTAATCTATCGTCCTCTTATCTATTATCTACTTTAATGTCTATCTCTATACGCCAGCATGGTTCTTTGTACTCTTCTATTTGATGTTATACTATTCTCTATTAACTTTTACTACGGAACGTATTGTTAATAGTGTTTTTAATGTACTAGAACATGGTCAGCTGTAGGAGAGTCACGCACATGTCACATCGAAATTTATACGAGGACAGTTATTACAATTATTAAAAAGATAATGGGATGCATTGATCGTGAGATGTGCGAGTTCTAACATATAATTGCATAAACCTTGTATTTCTATGTATCAAATTTTTAATGTCATTTATACATATTTTTCGTATCATATATCGATATGTAAATTTTTATCTCCAGATAAAACCCTCAAAAATATATTTAAAACTTACTTTCATTGTTATAATATTCAAAGGTATAATTTCAGATTGTCTTAGCTTAATTCGTATGCGAATTAAAATACTGAACAAGTCTAAAGAGTAAAAAAATATGCACGTTTGTACAATATATTTCTCTCTCGCTCGTATAAAAAATTGTCGCAATAATTCTAATAGAATGAAAGAGGAGCACGTGCTCGGTAGCAATATACTCAAATGACGCGTTTGTACTATCGTTGTTTTCTCATATTTCTCTCTGCTCAACTAGCTATTACCTATAAGTATATTTATACAGTTAGAGTCCACGTTATCTTAGCTACTTGTCACCTAATCAGATTCTTGCCTTGCTCAAAGAGACACGGGCTCGGACAAAATAAAACACAATTATCTCTCTTATCCAAATTGTGTAATAAAATCGCTCAAAAGTTGGTGCCATAAGCAATATGGACAATATATTATTAAATGCGTTATAGGTACGTGTGGACTAACTACAGCTGGCCGGCTAAGTTCTGCTTTAAAAAGCTCGATAACAAAATGCCTTGCAGTTGTCTTCCATGAGTAATCGCGAGGGTTTTTAATATCATTTATTTTTCCACGATTATTTTTTCTTCGTAAATTATTAATAATGCTTGCCAACAATTTCAAAGTTACTTGCGTATAAGCACGCGCATGTACTTATTAGAAGTTTTGTTTTTATTTTTTGAAGTGTAGTTTTTAATTTTATTTAAAATTTAGTTATTATTT